TAGAGATACACATACAGCCATAGAAGACTGACTAAGTAAGAGAGAGATGCAGAAAGTGTGCGTATGTGTGTGTGCCTGTGTGTGTATACTGGGAGTAACTGCAAAATTGTCCAAATCGTCTATTTCTTAAATTAAGCTTGAAACCGTTGCATCTTAGAAATGATTAAAGGTATCTTACTGGAATTCTTCGAGAGTTTTATAACACTATTGGACTCTAGTTTGAGCAATAAGAATGAATAATTACTCTAGAGACGAATCGTGATGAAATCGATCATTGTCATGTTCATTATTAATTAATCATAGCTAAATATCGGAAGCTCATAAAGGATTGATATAAAATTCAATATATATATATATATATATATATATTCCAGGATAATTTTCCAACTAAATTCAATCTCTAACCTTCAAACCGTTTGTATGAAAACCATAGGTTTACTTGCTGCTGGTGTATTTGGTCATCATCTTGCGGCCTCAGGCGAGATTGAACTCACCAATACTTTGATTGGTGTAGTTCATAATCTTGTCAAATAGCTCAATTCTTGATGCTTCGCTAGGGCTATCAAGGTTGTTTTTATCGCGACACCAACACTAAATGGATTGCCAACCAAGGCTCAGAGAGACTCCATTCACCCTCCGCAGGTTTTGAATTCAGAGTTTTCCTTCTCCTAGACCAGTTGCCATCCAAGACTATAGAACCCAGACTGTCCTGCTATTTACCCATAGCTGGAGAGAGAAGAAAGAGGATTCACACCTTTCCCAAGGGTGTTAGCACGTAAGTGAATGTAATGGATTCGACTGGAATTCGAACTCGGGTCTCCGATTCCGCAATCCAAGCCGCTATCCATTGCTCCACCGTGCCTCCGTGTATTTGGTAACAGCCTTGGTTCCTTCAGAAACGGCATGTTTAGCCAATTCTCCGGGCAAAAGAAGACGGACAGCGGTCTGAACTTCCCGGCTGGTCATGGTTGAACGTTTGTAATGGGCCAGTCGACTAAATTCAGCGGCGATTCTCTCGAACAGATCGTTGACAAAGCTGTTCATGATGGACATGGCTTTACTGGAAATGGCGATATCGGGATGAACCTGTTACATCACTTTGTAGATGTAGATCAAGGAGCTTTCCTTCTTCTTACGTTTCATTTTCTTGCCATCGGCACGGACTGGCTTAGCCTTTACGTCTTTCTTAGCACCGGAATAAAAAGGTGCCTCAGGGGTTTCGCGTACGATTTTATTTTCAAGTCTTTTTTTCACTGCTCTTTCGACTGTTATAGCTAAAACTCCTCTCTGACATGCCAATCGACTCATGGGTTCAGTTGGATCTTTCTAATTGATATCTTTAATTCTAAGTTGAACTGATGATTCCTCTTCCTGTTGTGACCTCCTCATCGAGATCTCCTTTCTTCTCTTCCCTATGTTTTAAAATTATTCACCGTTCTCTGGATGATTCTTGAATGGACTTTGTAGAAGGAAAACCTGAAAGAACTTTTTCCACTCAGTTTGTGGGGGACATAGTGGGGGTGACAGAAAACGATTTTAACCAGATTCTCTCTGTTTTTCTGTCTTTCTTCCAACAAATGCTGTCAAGATGGCTTATCTGAAAATCTGTAAAAAAAAGAAAATTAGTGTTTTAGTTTTTTGTGTTTTTTTTTACATATTAAACATTTTGGGGGGTGGATAATTATGCTGATACACGATTTAGAACAATTTTGGTGTCACACCTAGTATATGTAGGTAGTGGAGATTATATATATTATACTGTTTTAATGCAATTTGTATCCGACATTATTAATAGGACATCTTTAGTTTTCTTTAGAATTAATCTAGGCCGGTTGTTATTAATTTCAGTTTTGAAGAAATTATAAACAAAGATAGCAATTAAAATATGTGTAAAATTAACGTTTATAGCAATAAGAAGCGCGCACATATATATATATATATATATATATATATATATATATATATATATATATATATATTTTTTTTTATAGATACAAGTATTTAAGTAAATGCTCAGTTTATAATAAAAGTATTAACAACATTTACCGGCCTGAATGTCCGAGATATTGTCATAGCAAATATGCGTCCTCCGACAAAAATCGAACCTGCATCCTATACAGAACCGACAATTAGCCTGACGTGTTTTTACCGATTTCGCCACAGAGGAGCATTTCGGTTAGCAAAGTAGATTTTACTGTCTTCAAACTACAATTTTCCATGATTTTCTCACGTACATTCATATCTGCTCGATTATCTTGCATGAGGCATCACAAAAATATGCAGAACTGAAGAGAGGGGTCCAGAGGAGATCCCTGAATTGCCATGAAGTACCAACCTGGCCATGTGCCCAATGCAATCGGATATGTCTGTCCAGGGTGGATCTGCTCAGTCACCAGAAATCACATCAAAACCAACAGTCTATTGTATAATCCGATTTCATAATGGCACGCTTTGAAGGCCCGAACTGCACTAGGGTGTGCAAGTCCAGGTTGGGACTGACCAGGCGTTTGAAAGGGCACATTGCAAGTGATGATGATCAAAGTCACCTTCCATCACCCGTAGATGATTTGATATGCCACATATGCAACAAGTAATGCAGATGGATGGCTGGTTTTATGAGCCACTGTCAATCACACAAACGATGAATGCATTGTTGTTGCTGGGTGGGACAAGTTTAAACTGAAGGGCTGGATGTGTCAGTGATGGTCATACTCGTTTTGTGGGTCGGTCGCCACCATATATGCATGTGTGTGGGGGAGAAAATTCAGTTTAAATGTAT